TATATATATATATATATATATAACATGATTTTTTTGATGTGGCCCCTCACTGCTGTTGTTGTTGTCGTGCTATCACTAGTTGAAGCTGTTTCTCTGTTTGTTTGTTTGTTTTTTTGTTTTTATTCTTACCGTTGCCAATCTCCCTGTGTGTGTGTGTGTGGCTTCAGATTCGACGCCTGTGGGTGGCCGGCATGCCGCCGAAGAAGGACGGCGAGGGGGCGCCTGTGAAGAAGAAGAAGAAGGAGCCACCGAAGGAGTTGTGCGGCTGCGGCGCCGATACGTACCGCCCGCCGCCAAAGGGAAAGAAGAAAAAGACGGTGCCGATCGAGCACGTCGCCGGCTGCGTGTACCAGCGCGCCATCTGCAATGCGTATCCACACCTGCCGAAGTGTGCCGTGTGCCTCAACCCATGTACGTATTGCGCCGGCACAAACAGGTGGTGCCCGCACTGCTATGAGAAGCGCTGCATGAATATGTACAAGCGCGTGGTGCACGGCTACGAGAAGAAAGATCAGCAGCGAAAGGGGACAGTCACCTTCATTCTTGCAGACGAAAACCTTCAGATGGCAGCGGGGTCATATAGTTCTAAGAAGAACTCGGTGGCGCGCTGAGGTTGGGGAGAAAAGTTGTTCAGAATGAGGCGTGAATGAAATCAGACATCCCCGTGTTGTTCTTTCCCTTTTGTATACATACAATGTACATCATCACTTTCATACTCCATGGATACTGCAGTGTTTTGGCGTGTGTGTGTTTTTTTTGTGCGGCGAAGTTTAAGGGTGAAATATTGGCTCCTTGTTGGGAGACTGGCGTGAGAACTGAGGGGGGTGGGGTGGAAAAAGGACAATGGATTGGGGTATCTCAGGATGTATGCTGTCTTTCTGTACTACTGCGTCTGGCCCCAATGACAGCTCCACTGTTATTTTTTTTTTCCGCTTCTTTTTTTTTGTTTCTGAAGGTGTTGTACTCTTCTTTGATTTGAACGGGTTCTGTTGTCTCAGAGTGCACGTTTCTTCGTCTAGACAGCTCGAGCGGCGCAACCTGATTAGAACCGCTATTGTTTGAGACGGTCAATCACGCCAAGAGGAAGAGGAAGATAGATTGAGCAAAAGAGGTCCATGTCGGTGGCGCTCGACGTGAACACTGTCACGACGACTCTCTGGCCAGCAGTAGGGAGGGTGACGCGTCCGACAGGGCAGTTTGTGAATGTGACTCTAGTCGGTAGAGGCACGACGCGCTTCACTAACATCGCCTTTGATCCGAATGATGAGGCGACGTTTTATGCAAGCAGCAGCGATGCAGCAGTGTACATTTTTTCGCTGCGAGGGAATTCTGTGAAGCTGTTCGCTGCACTCGAGCATCCCATTTCCGCCATGGCGTGTTGTGGCAGCAGCGAGAGTCCGATGTTTGCCTGTGCAACAGAAGACGGCACGCTTGTGTGGATTGACTGCAGTACCAGCCGCATTCTCCGCCGCGAGAAGACGCCACACCAGCACACAATTCGTATGATCCGCGCCCCGGCTTGGCGTGGCTGCATGTGGATGGCTACTCTCTCATGTGACACGCTGGCCGTGTGGAACGTGACGCAGATGGTGTGCGGCATGCACAGTCACATGACAACCGGGAATACCCGACACAATTTCATGACTGTACACGCGGAAAGGAACCTCATAGTAACAGTAGAGTTCTCTGGTCGTGTAACAACGTGGGATGCTGGAACTTTATTACCAATCAGGGCAGTAGTGGTGGACATGCGGCCGCGTACTGCAGTTGCGTGCCAAAATTTCATCGCCATTGGTGGCGCAGACGCGACAGTCGGATTCTTGAAGACGGTGGATCTATCTTCCATCAACTTGGTTCAACTCTCCACCGCGCCAGCCGCAACGCGCTCACTGTCCATTATCAATGATGACCTCCTAGCATGCGAGCTTACGGACGGCACCATTGTATTCATGGTCGTCAGCAGTTACTCAGTGTCATTCGCCATGGCAGCGCCGTACAGTGGCGCTGTACCGAAGAGGCCAGCGACATTCAACGCCTCAGGGCCGTCATTTGGGGTCTTCACACACGGCGAGCAGTTGACTCTCTTCCACCTCCCCACTGCACGCCAATATTATCTGCGGCACACGCGATGGAACGGCTCTGACCCTAGCCCCCAGCTACCACGACAGGTATACCCATTTGTCCAAGAAAGGAGCGCTACGCGCACGGAGGCACACGCACTCATGGAAGAAGAAAGTATCAGTGATACAACGCTCCCGCGCCCCACCGTTAAGCTGAGCAAGTTGCAGGTCTCAAAGTGGGTAAAGGTTGACCTGCTTAACTCGGACAGTAATGCAGCTAGGTCATCTGGTTGTATTCGCGAGACCGTACCCAACCGGAAGGCGCAAGAAAGGTCCTCTGTTGAAGTTTCGAACAAGGAAAAAGAATTATCGTTGCGTCCGTTCCTTGATAGAGCGTCACGAGCCGCCAACATGGAATATTTGAGGCGGCTGTTGATGCGTTATGGTGTCTTTCCGGAGAAGTACCGCCTCATCACATGGCGCTTTCTCCTTCAACTACCAGAGCGGCGCTTTACGGCACCGCAGTATGCCCAACTCTTGGCCAAGGGTCCACATCAATCCGTGCCGTTCCTAATGAAACCCTTCCCTCTAAAGGATAAGAAGCTGCGGAGCTCCATGGAAAGAGTACTGTCGATTCTGGCCTGGCATGTGCCCATGTTTTCTGTGATCCACTTCCTGCCTATGGTTGTGTACCCGTTTCTGCGTGTGTGTGGTGATGATACGCAGTCGATTGTGGAGATTGTTCTCGCATTTCTTTCCAACTGGGGGAAGGAGTTCTTTCAGTACTACCCAGAACGTCCTGTTACACTTATGACTTTGCTGAACCAGTTGCTCCGAAGTGAGGACGTGGAGCTACACAGCCATCTCGAGCAGCGCGGGATCGTGGCGGAGGAGTGGGGATGGGAGGCCCTTTCCTCCCTGTACACCGACATTCTCACTTCTCCTGCATGGCTGCAGGTGATGGACCATGCCTTCTTCAACACACCGCTGTGGTTATTCCTCTTCCACATCCAATGGCTGGTGAGCATTCACGATAAGCTTATGGAACTCCCCGGGGAGGGGGAACTCAGGGCAGCTCTGTTGACGACGCACTCAATCGACGTCAATAGTGTCATTGCTGAGACTTACAGACTGTACGAGCAGTTCCCCAAAGAAGAGTTGACAATTCCTTACAGCAAGTTTCATACATTTGTGGACTATGTGTACCCTACACTGTGGAAGTACAACGAGGAAACAATCAACCAGAAGTTAGCGGATTTACAGCAGACTCTGCAACAAAAGGAGCGTATGGAGGAGGCACGCCAGCGTATTCATGGTGTTGGGGATCAACTTTCACAGGCGGAGATACTTAAAGAAGTGTTTATTGAAAGGAAGCGGGCGGAAGTTGCGGCGCGACTCACTGCAGCGAGCGACAGCTGGAAGCATGAAGTGACGCGTGAAAAGGAAAGCCAGCAGGTACGCGACATGGAGAATATGACTCGACTCCAGACGATGCAACAGCAGATCGAGCATGCAGAACGTTTGGAGGCCCTCCATGAGGAAATAGCGTCCGCACGTGGACAGGTTGCCGACCTCTTACAGACCAGGGAGAAGGAGGCGTTGCATTGGAGGCGGGCAGAACGCCTAACTGGCCATGAGTTGGAGCGCCTAGAGAATGCCGCCCAAGAACGACTGGCAAGGGCCATGAAGGCTCTCCAGGAAGAGGAGGAAAAGGTGGAACAGTTGAATCAAAGGGACACTTCACATGTAAGTGCTGAAGAAGTTTTCCCGTGTCAAGCACCACCTTCACCACCAGCAACTGCAGCAACGCCACCCCCGGTAGCACATTCAGCTGCGAACAGTAAACCTCCAACCGAGGTTCCCAGCTGTCCTGTAGAGGCATATCGCATGCTCCAGAGCTGCGCGACTCGGGGGGTCGGTGAGGCAATTCGGCCAGTAGACGATCATTCATTACCTGTACCACTGCCACATTCTTCTTCATCTCCTGCTGCTGATGGTGCTAGTGCTAGTGCTGCTGCTGCTGTTGCTATTCATCACCCCTTGACAGGCAGCAACCGGTCTGCGCCCAGCGGACCTCTGTACGATAATTTGCTTGCAAGTGGTATGTCGTCAAGTCGAAGCGAAACCTATAAGTCGACAACCACCGCTTCCCATTTACAGGAACAACGATGCTCTGGCAATTGTGATGAGCGTTCCTCAGCTGGTACCGTCCTGCTCCGTCCTCGCGGCCCTGAAGCTTACAGGCTGCTGCGCCCTCCGCATTAACCACTAGATCTGGCACTTGGTGGTCAAAAGCGTGGACCATAGATGAGGCTCAGTTCTGTTTTAGAGGGAAGGGTCACTGAGAACCTCTCCGATAGTGTTGTTGTTTGCGCCTGATTTGACCGTTTCCCGGATATTTCCTTTGTATTTTTTTTTTTTTNTATATATATATATATGCCTTCTCCTTGGGGATGGCCGTCACCGTACAACTTTAGGAAGGCCAGCCGTTGTACAGATTGCATGATTATTGCATAGACGTGTTCCACACGTCAGAGGCTTGAATAACCAGTATCGTTCCACAATGCAACTGCAAAAGAATGCGACTCTTCCCGTCCTCGAGTTTGTCTGCAACCTGCGCTGGGTGCTGTCGTACGCCGTGCAGCGCCTTGATCCCGTGGTGGAAGCGCACTATTCAGACATGATTGCTCGTGCCAAGCAGGCAGAATCTACCGTTTCACGTTCATACGCCATGGCGGGAACCATCATGGAGGTGCCAAGTGAGGCACTTGCTCTGGCGCGAGAAGGTGTGGTGTACCTTCTCGTTGCTGAGGGCGTGCTGGGGCATTGTCCACCCACCATGCACTCATTTTTGCTGCGTGCCACGGCTCCGATGAGCTCGGATGAACTGAGTGACTCCGTGAGTTGTAGCAGCTACTCGGGTATTTCACAGCTGCATACAGGAATGAGTGTGTGTCAGGCCCAATTTCTTTGTGTGCGGTGGCTTATTGTGGAGGGACTTTTGACAGATGAGGAACTCCTGGACGCTCTAGGTGAGGAAGCTAGGGCCTCCATTGAGGGACAGCAGAGTAGCTTTGATAGACATCTTTTCATAGCAAAAAGCCTCTCAAGTGGAAGTCCCTTTGCTCTCAATGCACATCTCGTTTTCACTAGAGCTCTGTTGCTGCATTATTGCAGTACAGCTCTCTCCGTTGATGGCATTGTCGCACATGTTCGCTTTTTGGATCCGATGTGCAATGGAAAACTGCGTGGTATGGAGGACGGCTTGTTGTTTTGGCTCGTCCACGTGCTCAAGGCTTTGCAGCGGACAAAAAAAGCAGATGGTCGGCTTTGTGGCGCCGCTATGAGCGAGCTCAGAGATTCTTTTTATCAGTCTGTTCGAAGCGGCGTAGTACTTGGGCTTGCTATTCATCTCTATGAGCCGAAAGTTCTTCCCCTTAGTGCCATTTTTGTGGGTGATGACGTCGGTCCAAAAACTCTCTCACGGCAGCGTCGCCTTCAGAACTGGGGGACCCTATTGCGCGTCTCAGAGGAGCTGGGTCTGCGCCCGGTTCTCTATGCAGACGAAGTGGAGCGGTATGGAGCTGTTGTGCTCCAGCTACACGTCCTTCGGTTTGTTGAGGAGTTGTTCGCAGTTCTTGCGACACAAGCGGAAGATCTTGAAGAGCATGGACGGAGCGACGGAGAGATGTCACTCAAGCTGTCAGCGTCATCACTATACGGTGGAATCAGTGAGTTCGACAGTGCAAATGGCAGTGGTGACTTTCTGCCAAAGAGAATGGTAGAAGGGAGTGGGGCGAAACTTGGGTGTCATGGTAGTGCAAATTACCCGCACGAAAACGAGAAGACTGCGACGCGGTTATGCGAAAACGAGGGCCATGAGAGGGAAGGAGCAGGGGAGCCAAATTGTGAAACATCATTGTGTAGCAGAAGCAGTCTTCCATCCGCTCACAGCCGACGGCAGTACGACGTTATGAAGGCGAGCCTCCGGCTGCGTGGTGTGGTCATTGGAGAGGACCCATTAAAGTCAGATTACAGTCCACAGAAGCCACGTGTGACGACGGTGCTGGCAGCCTCCTCTTCGATGTTGAGCACTGCCGAGTCGTTTCCACAGAGGGTGATTCCTCAGCGTCCCATGGAGAGGGATGTGACCCCGCTTGAAGCTTTCCCCAACGCTGAACTCCTAGACTCTCGTGATGGTCAATTGAAGGGGTATAGGGAGTGCAAGAGTGTCAAAGGAAAAGTAACAGGCGCGACGGCGCCTTCAGATACCTCCTTCACGACCAATGGTCATAGTACCACTCCCACTTCTGCCGCCATCCGCAGTAGCGAGTACCCTTCTTCGGTGCCGGTTGTGATGGCCGTGAAGGGGGCTAACACTCGATACACAAGTGTGCCGTTATCGTGTGAGAAAGTGATACCCTTAGTTAGCGACGCGGTGGATTCCAGACACAGTGTCAAAGTAGGAGCATCATGCACAACGACCGAGAGCTCCTTCGCTGTCAACTCAATCAGGAAGCCAGGTACCCCGTTCGTCGGCAGCGACGAAGAAGGGATAGCCGCCATACCAAAGACTTCGTCGGGGCTTCGCTCGTCGGTGCTGAAGCATGCGGATTCGGATAGCCAAGGCATATCTCCCATAACACCAGACATTATGACAGATCAAAGTGCGCCGCTAATGCAAATGAAGAAGGAGCCATCTAGGAGCCCGTCTTATAGTTCCTCAAAAAGGCAGAACTCGCAGCGAGACTCCGTGGCATTCGGCGGCAGTGAGGCGGGCAAGCGTGAGGTGTTCATGCAGCTGGACCCCGCCATCTACACAGAGACCGGTAATCGTCAGACTCTCATGTGGGCCTTGGAGCAGCAGCAGACAGTGATCCAGCACTTAGCCAGGAGACTTTTGGAGATGAAGACGGATGACCCTCAGCGGTGTGATGGCGTCAGATCGCTGACACATGATGAACTGAGCAGCTTTAACCAGACGCCGAATTCGATGCAGCTGCACCGCCTCAGTGAAATGGACCGTGACACAGATGACAGCGGGCAACGCGCGGAGACGGATGTTTCATCTGTGCCCGACGACATCATTAACGGTGATGAGTCTTTCTTCGATGGCTGAGGAATTCAGAGCCCGTGGTCAAAAAGTTCGCTGTTACGGAGGCTGACATTTTCCCGCTTAAACAAAAAAAAAAA